GGTGTGGATGGGCAGAACGGCTCAGATTACAGCACATCTCCTCCTTCGCCCATGACAAAATCCTCCTCATCGTTAAACGGCAGTGGGAACTTGCCAATTGGAAGGCTCTCAAAGCGTGAACTTCAAGCTCAGCTATCGGCGGCATTGGCATGGGCATCTTCTGCTGTACACGGGGTAGAAGATGAAAATGATGACGATGGCGATGACAATGATGATGACGATGGTGACGATGGTGGTGTGATGGTGCGTTTGCCGCGCGCAATTCTTGAGACGGCCTCGCAGATTGAACATCCTTCGTTGGTATTTGAGCTTTTGCATTGCAAAGACTCCAAAGGGAGAAGTAAGGGCGCTGGAGCTTGCTGTGGCAAAAACACCTACACGGATGACACTGAAGAAGACGATGACGACGAAAGGGAGGAGGAGGATGAAGAAGATCGATCCTTCCTTGGCGATCTGGACGATCTCAAGGAGACAACTGAAAAGGTCAACTCGTTGAGTCTACACACAATAAACGAGTTGGCAGCCTGGTGGGGCATACCAGTTGAAGGTGGGAACGGGGAGGTTTACCGCTTGACCATCACCGAACATTTTCGTTTACTTGCCTTTACGATTTGTGCTGTTGTTTCAAATACGTTGGAGCCTCAGCCTTTGTTTTCGTCTTATGCAGGCGGTAACTGGCGTCAAGATGGCAATAACGCAAGCATCCATAGTTCGGGTCATAAAAAGGCCGCTGCCGATGCGGCAAACGGTGCATCGAACGCTGGCGTGAAGGAAATGACGCCGCGAAGAGAGGATGACCAAGACGGTCCAATGCGTGGTCTTCTTTCCCTGCGGCATGACATTTGTACACTGAGTGCAGAGCACCTTCGTTATTTTGCCAATATTTTTGGCTTCCCGGACCGATGCTGCTCTCCGGAAGACATTTTTGCTGCAATCTCTGCTGTCGCTGTGGTGACATTTTTCTCACCGCTTCCAACCCCGTTGCTGGAAAAAGTTTGTCATGAGCTCTCCATCTCTACTGTGGAAGAGAACACAGAGTCGGTCGATGCCCATCAACTTCCCGAGCTGTTAGCGGAGAAAATAAGCCACTACTTTTATTCACCACGTTACTCCGTTCCATCTGTTTCAAAGCTTTCCTTCATGCCGCAGATGCAAATTCACGAGCACGCTCCTGGGCGCTACACGTGCACCGTGGACAATGCCAAACTTATGAAGGTGATAATGCTGCAACGATTGATAAGTAATCGTTTTAGCTGCAACAAGATCCGTTGGCATGCTTTGTTGACTGTGATCAATGACAAACTGAGTTTTTATATTTGGCATCGTAACACTGGCCCTATTACTGCCCATATGATTGTGCGGACGCAGGACCCCAAGAAGAAACGGAAGAATAATGGAATCAATGGAGGTGACAATAATAACAAGAACAAAAACAGTGATTTCTCCTCGAACCCAGAGTCGTCGCTTAGGGAGAGTTCCGCGTTGTTTCTGGAGCGAGAAGTAGAGGCCGCACCTGGGGAGTTGATGGGGTTTGAAAACTTTGTCTCACTGACCGTAGCGTTGCACAGTTCCACCATGTCACAGTCCGGTTATCGTCTTTACAACCGTGTAGAGGACAGACTTGTTTTTCAGTATGCCATGGATTTGATTTGTCCCAACGGTGCACCTCCAGTTGAAGAAAAGAGGAAAAAGTCAAGCAGCAATCATCAAAACGGTAAAAGTACTTGTGCAAATCGGGGATTGGAGAACGGCATGGAACAAGGCAGAGTTAATCAGCAGGCGACAACAGATTCAGCTGCGACCGCTACTGCGAATGCGGAGAATGAGAAGCGCCGCAAGGAATGGGAAAAGGTCGTTATCAAACTGGAGAAGAGCGAGTCACAACAACGCGAGGCCGTCGATCAGGCGTGGAACAGCGGGTATCGTCAATTGCTGAATGAGCATGGCAAATCTTACCAGAAGGCTTTGCAAAAAAAGAAGGACCGTGAGCGCAAGATGCTTCTTGCTAAGGTTGGGCCTAGTCCCGAGCTGCTGCGTGAATTGGAAACGCTAACGCAAACGGTGTCTGCTACTCGTGCACAAGTGGCAAAGTTGGCAAAGGAGAAGTCAAAGGAAGAGGCTGCAACTAAAAAGCTTCAGGAACAGATTGAGGAGGGCAAACTCGAGGTGGAACAACTACACCAGCAGCTTAAGAGCAGCAATGAGCTACTGTCGAGCTTAGAGGCTGAAGCAGCCGCATGTATTACACGGTTCAAGGAACGCGGAGAGGCCAAACGCCGAAAACAGCGGGATCTGGCGGCAGCACTACGCATTCCAGAGATGTCTTCAACCCGTCATGAGACGTTGGCTATCAATGATCTTCAGTCTTTTTGGGCTCCGTCATCCACGAATGGCGCAAACTCGCAGCTGTTGTTGTTATCGACATTGTCAGCGACAAGTTCGTCTCCAGCGCGTTCGCCACAGTCATCAGCGATTGCGGCACCCGGCGTGAACCCCAACCTCGCCTTCAGTTTTGTTGGTGGTGGTGGTAGTGGTCGTTGTGGATTGTCGATTCCATTGCCACGTGCCTCTGAGGAGAACAGTTGTGGAGTTTTTTCTCTACCCTTGCAGTCTACTGCCGAAGAAGTGATCGGCGTTGGTATTTCGACATGGGCTTCTATGACAGATCCATTGTCGTTCGGTGAGGGCGGAAAAGGCGGAGACACCGCGAACACCTTCGGGACCCCATCTGCTGCTGTCCTCTTTTCACCACAGCCGCCCCCATTGCAGCAGCCAGATGCGGCAACTCACCTTGCCGGCGTAGATACTGCGGGGGGATCGGCAGCAGGACAGAGCAGCAGTTTCACTGTCACCGCTCCGTTTACTAGTGGTGGTGCAGCACCGCGCTTCACTCTTGACGCTAATGCCTGCCCCTTCACCCCAACTACAATGGTAACAGGAAGAACCTCTTGCAACTCTGCACCCCACACGTCCTTTGGTGTTAAGACTGGTGCCGCGCCGGTTTCACTGCATTCACCTCTCTCGACGTCACCCACGACAGTCATTTCAGGAAATAGCCCTGTTTTTTCAGGAGGGATGTTCCCGGAGCGGCCACGATACACTTCTGTTTCGGCGCCCGTGTCGGGAGGTGTTGCTAGCAATGAAGCCTTTAGTACCGACCCGCTTCAGAGCGGCGCGCCTCTTTTTGCTCCACCCGGACTGTCAAGTGCATCAGGGAAATTTTTGCAACCGACTAGCAAGGCCCTTTCACTTAACTTTACAACGGCTCCATGGAATTAAAACACACACGGTGTCTTGGCCTATGAATGGTTTGGAACGACGCACGCACCCCAGCTTGCTCCTTTTTTTCTTTTTATTTTTCTTGTTTTCTTTTTACTCCCACTAGCAACAGAGATGGATATTCCTGCTTTTTTTGTTTATTGTTTTTTTTTCTGCGTGGATTGTTGATAACACGGGGTGATAGAAGCAGCTGGACTGAAGATTTCTTCTGTTTTCACAGTGCATCGGCGCGCGGAGCGCGCGAAGGGCCGATGGGGATGGAAGGAGAGGAGACGGGTGCGTGTTGCGTGTGGGGCCTTTCGGAGAGAAGAAAAAAAAAAAAAAGAACGGATGGAAAGCGGCAAGATGCAGAAGAAGAAAAGAAATATATATTTGTGTCCGTGGAAAGGGGGGGAATTTGCGTGAATTGATCGAAGAGAGGAGTTGCGTGGGGGTGATTGGGACGAGGAATTCTTTTTTCTTGTGTGTGTGTGTGTGTGTTTCTTTTTGTTGGCTCGCTGGGGAAAAATGGGGAGGGAGTGACGGGCGGACAGTGCGCACCCGCCGTCTGCGGTCCCAACACCACACAAACACACAAGAAAAAAAAAGGGGGGCAAAGTAAGAGGGAAACGAAGAGTGAACGAAAATAAAGGTGGTGAATTGGCCTTCAAGAAACAATTTTTTTTTTTTCTTTTCTTTTCTTTTCTTTCTCCTATTCGCGTAATTATTTACGTTATGAATTTTGACGCCTGAATCCCCGCAGAAGCAGTCGATGGACAAAAGAAACACGAATGAGACGGAAGACAAAAAAAACACCAAAAACAATAAAAAAGAGGAAAAGAAAAAAGAGGAAAAGAAAAAAGAAAAAGAGATTTATAAAATGAAAAGGGAGAGAGTTCCGACATGAGGCGTTTCCGTAATTGCGATTCCAAATAACAGTTTTGTTGTATGATATGATGTATTAAAAGAAACATTTTTTTTTTGTTCTTTTTTTTTTTTTCTTTTTGGGTGTGGATGGTGTGGTTGTGTGTGGGGAGGGGGTTTTTGTTGGTTGTTGACGCCGGATACTGCACGGGGAGGAGTGGGGCGGTGGGAACTGAGATAAAATGGATGGGCATCCAACACATGCACATGCATGTTGTCTTTGGCTGTGACGTGCCGGGAAGAAAATTGAGAAACACCCCCCCAAATTGAAAAGAAAAAAAAGAAAGAAAAATGAAAATAAAAATAAAAGCATAAATTAAAAACAAAAAACAAACAAAAAACAAACAAAAACAAAACAAAAAAAAAAAAAAAAAAAATAAATAAATAAAAAAGAAAATGAAAAGAAGAGCGAAGAAAATGTTATTAATATTATTTTTTCTTCTTCTTATTAAGAAAAGGAAAAAAAGAAAAAAATAAATAAATAACAACAAATTTGGTGATCTTTCTAGTAGTGCCTCTGAGGGCTTACGTGGTGTCGCTTTTGTTGTTGCTGTTATTTCTTTGCAGTTTGTTGAGACAAAATAATTTGGCTGCGCTTCTGTCTGTCTCTTATATATACTTCTTTTTCTTTTTCTTTTTCTTTTTCTTTTTTTTTGGCAGCGAGTGCTTTCAACCTCTTTTTTTTTTTTTTTTTTTTTTAGGGCACAAGTCTTTACCACATTTTTTTTTTTTTTTTTTTTTGCTTTTACGTGGTTCTTTTAAGGCTTTTTTAATTTCTTTTACTCTCTCTTTATTATAAGTACATATTGGGCCTCTCAATGAGGCTTACTGCGAATCGTTTTGGGTTTTTTGTCACCCACTGTGTGGTGCATCTTGTGTTTTACGTTGTTCCGGTAACATTATTAAACCTGTTTTTCCGCTGGCCTATAACTTTTTTTGAGTGGATGATTCAGGAGGAGGAGCTCACGTTTTCTTCGCAGAAGGACCGGCGCATTGCTACCGTCAGGTCTCTCTGCAATTCGACCGTCTATGACTCCTTCGGTCTGGGCTCGTATAAGTACTATGAGGGCCCTATGTACAGTGGACATGTACATACCATTCTTGGAGCTCGACGTCCCCACTGTAGGGTGGAGTACACCCGTGAGACGGTGACTGCGGGGGATGGCAACCCACTCTGTATTGACTGCTTACCACCGGTGTTATCTGGTGAAGCACAAGTGAGGGGATTGGTGCTGATTCTCCCGGGGCTTTTGAGCTCTTCACGGAGCGTTTATATCCAGCGTATGGCGAATGTTCTCTCGAGAGAGGGTTTTTTTGTCGGGGTTCTGAATGCGCGTGGCGTTGGGGATACACCACTGGAAAAAGCCCAAATTTTTAGTGCCGTGTACACTGCAGATTTGCGCCATGTGCTAAAAAATTATTTTAACCCGAAACAGGTACAACAACGGCTAAAAAGCAGCCAAACAAAGCCGTTTATTGCGCTGGGCTTATCACTTGGTGGTGTTTTTCTTTGCAAGTATATTGGTGAACAAGGACTTTGGAAGGAGACGAATCCGCTGAGCGCGGCCATCGCCTTAACGTCCCCTTTTGATATGAATGCGTCCGATGATCAATTGAGTAATTCGTTGTACAATCGTGCGTTTTTAAGAAACCTAATCGCGTACGCGGAGCGTCACAAGGCTGTCATGGAACGACTACCAGGTGTGGATACCCAGCTGCTATTTAAAGGGGAACGCCCGCTCTTATACCGATTAAGTTCTGTTTTTCAATTTGACCAATACATCACGGCTCCACATTTTGGCTTCCGCTCGTCCGAAGAGTATTATAACGCTGGTAGCTGCTTCGTCTCCCTCTTAACGTCACAAATTCCTGTTTTATGCATTGCCACCCGCGACGACCCCATCTGTGGCACGCAAAAAAGCATCCGTCGCTGGGAGAGACTTGCGAACACAAATGCGAATGTGGCGTACGTGGAAATGCCCTCTGGGGGACATTTGGGGTTTGTTGGCAATCCAATTGCGGAGTTCAATAACGATGCAAATGAGGGGGAGCGACTCGTTCTTCGCTCCATGAAGCGTTTCTGCGAAAATTTTCAGGTTTGACAGATCTTTTCAAGGGACCTCAAATCGCACTGTGGGAAGACTTCTTTGCTTATCCGTATGCGTGAACGGAATTGAGGTGCAGTGAAGTATTATTATTATTATTATTATTATTTAGAATGTTGTATTTGATGTGCAACACTTTTTGCCTGAGAACCCCCCTTCTTTTTCTTTTCTTTTTTTTTTTTTGTTTTTCGTTATGGATGTTTATTTTTTTCTTACACAATTCAAAAGGGATGCAAAGAGGTGGTTTATAATGTGTAGGTGGAGGGGATAGAAATTTGGTGTGCGTGGACGACGGGGAGGGCGACGACACGATTAGTCAAAAAAAGGTGGGGGGAATGTCTGGCTTTCTGCAGTCTTTTTTTTTTTTTTGTGTGTGTGTGTTTCTTTTTATTTTACTTTTTTTTTTTTTTTTTTTATTTCTGATTTTATTCTTTTGTAAATAATTACTCTTTTTTTTCCTTCAGCCATTTTTTTTTTTTTTTTTTACTGCGCTACGTGTTAGATTGTGCCCGCCGCTTCCTTTGGCCTGTGGGGAGGAGGGGAGGGACGAGGAATGCGGAGGGGTCTTCTCTCCACGCACCCGGTGCCGTCTTCGGCGACGGACAGGAAGAATTACGAGGCCACGGGCGACCAGAGCGACAGGGGAACCCCCGAGCACATGCTGGCGAGGAGGGCGGTCATGAGATCCACGGCTGGAATGTTGCAGGATAACTGGCCGCGGGAAGGGAAGCCGCGCATGACTTTAAGGGATTTAAATGAAAAGGCGGCTCTTTCTCTCAGCATCGACAGCGGCCTTCTGGCATCGCCGACACACGTCACAAAAATGGTAACGGAGTTTGCTGAGGCAATTGAGAGGGTACAACTGAGGAATTCTCTCCTTTCCGTGGAGCAGGAATGTAACTTACGCGATGAATTATCTTCATGCTTGCAACGCAAGTTTGAAGAGGTGTATCATCTGGCTTTGGAGAAGGAAAGGCAGCATCAACGGAACATCCGCGACTCGTACAATAGTGAACTTCTTATCGCCTACCGCCGCGAACAGCAGGCCAAGCACCAGGAGCAGTTGGAAGACCTGCAACAGAATTTGGAGGCAGAATTTCGGGAGGAACAGAAAGAGCAGCGACGTCGTGCGTACCAGCGGCGGGTGAAGGTGTTGTTGACTCAACAGGGTGAAAAGAAGACGGAATATCAAAATGCTTTGGAGCAGTACTACACCTACCGTGAAGGAGGGCAGCCCGCATCCGGCACATTTTCCCCGCGTGACGGCTTTTTTCAGATACGCTTCACTTGTGAAGAGGAAATAGCGCTACGTACAAGTGCCGAATCCATGAGTAGAGACCAAGTGATGTGTCTTCGTATTGCCTTGCGTCGGCTAAAAAAAAGGGTGAAGATGAGTAAAGAGCACACGCAGCGTTGCTTATCGCAGCGTCAGAATTCTGTTTTTGCTGCGAGAAATCGTGCGCAAGAACGGTATCTTTCAATCATTGCAGACCAGCAGAATGAACTGAGGATGCTTCAGCATTGGCACAAGGAGATGCAGCAGTTAGAACGAGAAGCCAAAGAAATCATGCGTTCATACACGGAGCAGCGTCTTCGGCGTCAGGAACATATGCAACGTGAAAAGGAGGGGCAGGTATCATCCGTCACAGGTAGCAATGGGGAGGAGGGTACCGGTAAGGGAGGATCTGCGTTTAACGCAAAGTGTTCCAACGGCTTTCAGCGGGGCCTATTTGATCTTTTGCTCTGAAGGATTTTTATCGATTAGTGACAGTCATTAATTTAGGGGCTTTGTATGTTTTTTTTTTTTTGTTTCTTTTGCATGTATCCGTATGATGTGTGTTTGTGTATGCCAATGTAACTTCTTTTACTTGAGCCTTTGATTGCGCGTGTTGTTCTTTTTAAATTCAAATACTTTTTTTTTTTGTTGTTGTTTTCTATCTTTTGAAATGGGCACGCATACACGCACGCGTACTTGTATTTATGTATGTATGCATGCTTTTTTCCCTAATTCTTTTATTTATATTTGCCAGTGTTGTGGGACAGATGGAGCCCGAACTCATTACGTTAAGTCCTCTTTTTATTCGGCTATTGCGCGTCGGTACGACGACTGCATATGCTCTGCGACCATGTTTTGCCACGCGTCTCGACGTATATTCAGCTTCCACTGGCTCTGAGGGCGGTTGGACACCATGTGCACTGTTGGTATCACAGCATGGTGAAATGTATCTCTTTTCTGCTGATGACGGGCGGGTGATCAACGCAGCACTACTGAGCCCAGGTCCAATAACGAATACCGAAAAGGCGCGTATCGACATCGTCACCCAGCACACTTTGGACGCGGAGACTGACACGCAGAGCGTGTACATTCGTTGCCGGCAACAGCTTCAACTTATGAACAATGGTGGTGAGGGAAAAGGCAAAGGTTTATTGCCAACTCAGGCCGTTGCGGTGAGCGATAAGGCACCCGGCGCTTTATTCCCTCCGTTTTCGTACTTGATGCGCTTTCACTGTCGAAACGCTCAAGTAATGTTGCAGTTTTTTCGAATTATTACAAATTTTGCGGATCCAAAGAAGAGGGAATTTAACCTTCGGAAAGCACATATTTCACTGAGGGGAGAGTTGGATCACTCCCTTTTTATCGACCCACTGATAACCGTTCCGCGGCAACGGGAGAGGGAACAGCAAAAGCAGGACACAAATAAATGGAGCAACGCTCTTAGCAAAGTGTCCCCGTTGAAGTTACTTTCCCGCCTCCCAGGTGGAAGGAATTCAGTATATATGCGGGATGTTGCAAAGTTTGAAAAAAAGCGTTTGCTGGACGCCGGTGAACGGATTGAACTTCCATTGCAGGATGATCTAAGTCTATTGTTGAAGCCGAATTCCGTATGTGAAGTTAATTCGGCAAATGCAATCGGGAGAGAAGCCTCTGCTGAGGTCCCACCTGGCAAGAATGAATATGCGGGTGCGATGGCGAACGCGCTACTGGTGAAAGAGGGAGATCCATATTGTACGGTTTTGCCAGCGGTTGCCAAATTCTATGGGTGGATAATGGACAAAATACCACAATTCACGCTCTCTTCCTCAGAGGATGTCCTCTGTATGTACGGTCTCCCGGGGTTTGAGTCTCAGTTTGCCGTTTTTTTTGTAAATCCGCGCATTCAGAAAATTGTGGAGAATTCTGTGGGGCAGTTGTTGGCCAATTTTCCGGGTCTTCCAGATCTGCCACAGTACCGGATAATTGCACGGGAGGCTGTTCGTGAAGAAATGCGGTGGAACTTTGGTGTCACCTACCGCGAGTTGTGCAATGCGGCAATAAAACTCATTGATGACATCTCAATCGATCAGCTCATAATTGATGAAGAGCGCGTCGCGATACAGAAGTCGCACGATGTGGCTGTTGAGGCATTGCTGGCGGAGTCTCAGGCTCGCTGGCAGAAGATGCTTGAGGAGGAGGGGCATGTGTTTTTTGACGCCAACCATGAGCCCAAGTCGGTTACTACGGGCCAGCTGCTTGCGCCGTTGTGCACAGAAGAAACGGAGTGGCGCAATGAGGTCGCGGAAGCTGCCGAAGCGCTGGAGGTGTTGGAGCTTGGTATACAGCGAATAAGGAACACCATTGTTGCTGACAGCGACGAAGAAAACGATGACAGTAGCGGGAAACAGGATAGCTTAGGTAACAATGTGGGCGGTGTGGCTTTCATGCCTTCAAGGGGAGGAAAGGGAGGGAATTCAAGTCATTGTTTGTCTTTACAGGAGGAGGCGGCTTTTTTGCTTCAAGAGATACAGAGGGAGCGAGAAACGCTTTTGTCTATGCAGCTGCAATGCTCCAGTGGGGACCGGGGGCCGAAAGACATTGTGGAGGACGATGTGGAAATTAAATCTATGTGTTCAGAGTACAATGCACGGCTCCTCCAGCAGCAACAGCAGATTGATACACTGAAGCAGGAGTTGCAAAAAAGTGCAGCTATGTTTGGCATCAATGCTCGATGGATAGAGGAACAGAACCGACGGCCCGGCTTGGCACAGGAAATTTTGAATTCCACCTATGTTGTGTAACTTTATCCTGTATGATCTTTTTTTTTTTTTTTTTTTTTTTATTGGTGCGCTTCTTACGGAATGTTGATGCAAGACTCAATACTATTGGGCTGCATCCACGAGTTCGCAGGACACGTGATGTTTAGGGGGAAAACCCCCTCTACACATGAATACAGACGCGGATTAGGGATGAGAGGAAACGAAATAAAAGCAACACGAGCAAAAAATATATAAAAAAAGGAATTTCAATGCCGAGATGTTGCGTTCGGTGTTGTGTCTTTGTGTGGGGCCTAAATTTTATTTATTTATTGATGTCTTTTTTTTTTTTTTTTTGCCTTGCGGTGTTTTTCTGCGTATGCCCGCTTTCTTCATCTGTAGGCAGGTGCACGCCGTAGAGCCATCAGAGAGAGAGGGCCTCAGTGAGGTGGGGAGGGTTTGTGTGTGGAGGACAAAACACATAAACTGCCACGGAAGGTGTTCAACAGAAAAAAAAAAAAAAAAAAAATGCCTTCCACTTCGACGCGAAGGGAGCGCAGTAATCTGGGCAAAGGGTCGACTGGGTCTGAGTCTGCAAGCAAGCGACCACGCCGCGAAGTCACGAGTGAGAACAGCAACGCTATTTTATCGGGAACGGTGCTTCACAACAAGGCGGATGCGCTGCTCTTACCGTGGCTGTTTGAGTGCCATCGCGTACTTCGGGCGGCAACTCCGCCCTTCACTGTCAGTGCGGGCTTTATAAAGGAACTTCTCAGCCCCCGTTACTTGAAAAGCAGTCTTAACGGTGTGCAGCAACTGACAGGCTGCCTGTTGTCCGACATTGTGAGACTGAGCAGCGGCCATGCATCCGGCGAGGAGAGGGCCAACATGCTACCGTTTGACACGAACTATGCCGATGATGTCTTGAGTTGTCTGACTTCTCCTTTTGGGCAGGTGGCCCGGGGCGAGGCGCCTTTGAAAACATG